AAACGTGACGACTGTGCAAAAATAACTACATAAAAGACACCACTGTTACAGAAAGAGTTCACACGCTATTTAAACTGCCGATCGCGAACGGAACAAACCGTGATTGAAACTAATTGTGATGCCGCTCTTTATTCGTTGCGCTAACTGTCGCCTGTCAGTGGCAGACCCGCCCCTTTTAAAGCACTAGCTTAATCCATCAATATGCGTTTCACTGGATGGAATTTGTTTGATTCCTTCGTGGTTTTTGCGATCCTCGGTCCCACTTTATATCTGTGGACAAGGGATTCGAGGCTCTAATCCCTCATTGTGTCCGAGGACCAGCACAGCGCGCCCCCCTGGGCGGGGGAGCCGGTCCTTGAGGCCAAGGACCGGCTCGAGGAACACATCCCTGCTGGACAAAACCCACGCAGGCATGGGGATAACATGCAAACTCCACACAGGAAGGCCAGAGCCGGGATCGGACCCACGACCTCTGCACTGTGAGGTCGACGCGCTAACCACTTGACCACCAGGCCGCAATTAGAGGTAAGATCTTAAGCCCGAGCCTGAGCCTGACCCGACCCGACACATCATTGCTTCGGGTCGGGTCGGGCCGGGCTTCTCTCTCGCTGACTTTTTAAAAATAAATATCACTGTGATGTTGCTACCCAAACTGAGGCGTTTCGAGACCGTGAATAGTTTTGGCCACAAGAGACCGTGGTTCGCAAAAAAAAAAAAAAAAACAAGTTGCCTCACCACAACACGTACTGTACTAAACTCTTGCAATGACAATTCAAAGAACTCCTTCCTGTCTCTGTCTATTATCCACACATCATTGTTCTTTGTCTCTCTGCTTTTCTCTCTTAAAATGCCGCGCTACATTCTTAAGGACGTACTGCTGCTGTGGTATGTGGCCCAATTTTCAACCTGTCAAAATGACGGACGGCATTAAATTTTTCCCGTCAGCTCTTAAAAAATCCGTCAATGATGGAAAATTGTCGGTTAATGTACCCTCTGCAGAAACAGAAATATAAAAGATGAGATTTACAATCCAGAAAATACGGTAATGCACTTAAATTAATGGTTTGATTTCCCACTTTTTTTTAATGGTCCCATATTATTTAGACAAAAAATAAATTTTTTCGAAGCTAAAGAATACGTTTTAATCAGGAGTGCTAATAACTATAGACTATAGTGTTGAGTGATGGTTACCTGGTGCAACGGCCGTCCTCTGCTTTACATGGCGATACTCAGGGCAGTCTCTCCTGACATGACCAGTGTCCCCGCACTGAAAACAACGCCTATCTTTTTGCTCCCGCTCTTCATCTTTTACATCTTCATCTTTGTCATTTTCTTTCTTTTTCATTCTGATGAAACATGAACAAACGCAATTATTAGATGCACTGCATGGGACAGCCCACCGGCCAGATTGAGCTTGTCCGTAATCTCTCCCTGAAAATAGAAATTATTTCACTTATTGGAGAAGTGGTTGGAACATAACTCCCAAGTTAAATGCCAGAATGAGAGAAGGATTTTCTACAACACTTTTTCATAGCTTTCTTCAAAGTCGAAAGTTCATAAGTGTTTCATAATAGTATTTGGTACCATAGCCTTGATGTTGACTTTGGGTCAAGAGTTTTGGCTATCATTCAACAAGCTTAGTACAAAAGTTGGCAGGAATTTGGGCCCAGACAGAACTGGCGTTAATGAGACAAGTTTGGAAGCTGACTTGCACGCACATGCCTTATCTGGTCTGCCCATCGTTTACAATAGGACTGAGGTCATCGGAGCTTTGTGACGGCCACTCTAAAACATTGACTTTATTATCCTTCAGCCACTTTGTAACCCGTATGGTAGTATGCCTCCGGGTCATTGCCAATTTGGAAGACATTTCACATTCAAGCTTCAACTTCCTGCCTGTTGTCTTCAGTTATTGGTTCAGTATTTCCACAGAATGTTCTTTCCTCAGGATGCAAACTTTTATGAAGTGCAGCTGTCCCAACTGTAGCAAAACAACCAGACATCATGATGCCAACATCCCCGTATATCACAGTTGGAATGGTTTCTCAAGCCTGCAAGCTTTGCCCTTTTACCTCAATCCATAAATGATGCTCACGATGGCCAAATAATGCAATTTTAATTTTGTCACACCACGGGACATGGTTCAAAAATCAAGGTCTTTGTCACTGTGTGCATTTTTTTTTTTTTTGTTTCTGATGGCTCCTTCCTGGCTGAGTTGCCTTCCAGCCCATGTCCAGTATTTCCACAAGCGATATAAAAACCTGGGCGCCCCCCCAGCTTTTCCTGCCCCACTGACACCCTTTTCTGCTCCTCCTACAACAAAAAATCCCCCTATTATATAATACGAAATATTTTTCTCTGCCCCTGCCTCGCAGCGAGATTCACTACAACGAAAACAAGCCTTCCTCAAAATTCTAATCCAACCTCAGCCTACAGCGACTCCGACTGCTTAGCTCGGAAACGGCAACAGCAAACACCACAGTGGCTTAAACATGCGCAGTAGTACAGGAAGTATTTGTTGTTTCAGACGTAGCACGAACGTTGCATTGCTAAAATGGCTACAAAAACGGACCTTTGCAGACCAAGGAGTGAAGAAAAGAAAAACTTTAACGCTTGAAGACAGGATAAAAGCAATAAAAATGAAAGATGGAAGAAGCAAAGTAAAAGATATGCAAGAAATTAATGTATGTGAAAGTGAATGCTGATCATAAATTTCGCAATTTCTTTCCATTTTTTTTCTTCCTACGCCAGTGATGAAAAAAATCTGAAAATCAGTCGGGGGTCTGGGGGCCGCAGGGGGCAAAGCCCCCGGAAGCTAATGGGTTTTAGAGATTTTAAAGCCTTAAAACCATTAATTTTATCAACAAAATTTTACAATTTTTGTTGAAATACCATACCCTATTTGCCTTACAAAATTGGCACTTTGTACTAAACATGCTAAAGATGAAGTGTATTCAATGTACGCACTACTTGAAACTTTCACAGAAAAAAAAAAATCCCAAGATTGTTCACTATTTTTTCAAGTGAAAATTTGACATAGGCCTTTGTGCAATTTTGCTTATGCATTCCTGGTGAGTACCAACATGTAACTTCAAATTTACTGCTCAAAATCAAAACTAAAAAAGGAAACACATTCCCTGCCATATTTAACATTTGTTCATTACTTGTATTCATAAAATGTTGTGTAAATGTGATAAAAAGCTGTTGATTCTTACCTCATACAGTGATAGTGCAGTCCCAAACTGTTTACTATATATGGGTTAAGAATGCATTTTATCCTATAAAGTGGATGTCTATTTACAGTATATACAACTATGTACAGTTTCATTATGTAGAATGTTTATTTTCTCTTCATTTTAACCTTTTTAGCAAGAGCTAAAAGCTTGTTGGTTCTCTCCATCTTTTTCACTCTCTTTTTAGCCAAGTCCTCGTTTTTTCACATGCTCCAGCCGAGCAGGCTGTCGAAAAGCGCTTGAGATCGAGAAGTTAGTTTTCAATAGAAATGTCTGTTTTCGGTGTTTCACAGAGGTTGCGTGACTCTAAAGCTTTCCATCCTCTCTATCCGTATAGAATGACATCATCACACACTGTACACAGAGCTTAATCAGCAACATCGAGCTTTTTCATGAAATCCGACACAAGCACAGACAATTGTTCCTCTTTACTGTTTCCTACTGGGGAAACCGTCAGCTTCCTATCCAACCAGTCCCATCGAAACTTGTTTTTCAGGTCCGCATCTATCTGATGCACTTTGGCTTCATCACGAGTCTCGATAACATTCGGCATTTTGCTTAATACAGACTACATACACGAGTAATTTCAATACACTACATCCCTTGTGCAAAACCATTCAGAATTCGCGGAAAAGGGGTTTAGGAAGGCGAACACGAATTGGTTGTGATTCTGCATTTGCCGATATGGCGACCAATCACAACAAGTAAGACATTGGTTTTCGCCCATATACGAAGTAACAACAAACTAACGCTTCGCGAGAAAAAAAACGGTATTCAAAATGGATGCTTGCGAACTTTATTTTGTAAACATTACGAGTCCCGAGTCTGCCAAAGACAAGTATGTACGGCAGCCCAGAAATAACACCAGACCCTAGCCCCCCCCCCCCAAACCTTTCCCAAGGTTTTGGGACA